TATAACACGTGGGGAATTTAAGCACACAAAGATTGAGTGATTTACCATCTTGGCTCAGCTCTTATATCATAAAGTTTGGAACTGGCCCCAGTTCTTCTGAGTCACAAGCCAGTACTCTATGTTCTCCACACTACTGTCTTCCAGTTACCTCTAACCAATGACAACTTACCTTGTCACAAAGTTAAAATAGTCAAAAATGTGGCAAATGTCTTTCCCTGCATGCAAATCTGTCAATGTCACCAAATAAAACTTGTATGCGTTACTGCCACATTGTGGTCATATCTTTTTTTCCTTGTTCAGCCTGGAAAGAACTCAAACCCAGACCTACACAATCCTTGCAGAACCATATTTGATCAGACTAAGGAGCCATTCAGTAATGGCTCAGGGAGTGTAAGAATTTCACACAGATTTTTTTTTCAAGAAAAAGTACCAATTTCTTCAATTAGAAGAGGAGAACTAGTTGTAGTCTCATAGCATAACTCTGGGCATTGCTAACCAAACAACAATTCAGAATTTCTTTTTCCTCCCTTTGTCTGCTGTCAGCTAATACCTTGGAAAACACAATTTGTTTTTGTCAGTGTTGATGAAGACCTCACGTTCTCATTAACATAATATTTCCCATTACATATTTTTTATGTCATTTAGGTTACCTGGATAGTTTTTTCTTTTCTTGACACATCTTAGTTGTATATCATGGTATTTCAGGATTGAAAGAACATTGTTTCTGATGCTCAAGTCCCCTGTACCACTTTCCCAGCCTGTATCTCAATAAATCCATTATATAAAGTAGTCTTCTGAAGCAGTTTGTCCCATCATTAGATAGGTTTCTCTGTTATAAAATTATTTTCCATATTGAATTACAATGTATTTTCCTATAATGTTTAATTATTATTTTTAATTTTGTACTCTGGGGATTAAATGGGACAAATTGAATTGCTCTGTTAAATGATCTCCCTTTCACTTCATAAGGTAAATATCTAACCACTATGTTGTACAACTGAAACTAATATACTATTGTATGTCAACTGTAATTAAAAAATAAATTAAAAAAATAAATGAAACATTTAAAAACAATCACTGTTTCTTTGTTTCAATAGTCTTTTGTTCTCCCAATTTAAATATCCTTTTTTCTTCCACTCATCTTCCACACTTCTTAGACCCTCCAAGTTGCCTTCCTCCAAATACACTGCAGTTTGCCCATCTACTTCTTAAATTGTGAGACCTAGAACTTATGAAGGGCTCTATATTTGATCTCTGTAAAATCAAACAGGAGTAGATCATTCCCTCCATTTATACATTCCGAAGTCACATTCTTAGTTGTGCCAATATGTTGACTTAAATGTTTAATTTACTTTTCTCTGGATGAAATAAGATTAAAAAGACAAATTCACAGAACAAGTGAGGCAACAGTTTACAGTCATGTACTAATGAAACCGTTGTTATAATCCCCAAATCCCATTACCCCCACCATCTTTGGGGCTGTTACATGTGTAGAATTGTGAAAAGAATGGAATAGATAGGGAAAGCTTTTAAAGTGTTTTGTAAATTCTTTGCATTAACTAATCTCTGTCTTTATATTGTCTTTATATTATTAACTAATCTCTGTCTTTATATTCTTTGGCTTCATAGAACCCTTTGCGTTCTCATTTTTATTCCTGAATCCAGTATCATCTCTTTTTGTGGGAAGACATAACTGCATTACTATAAGTATATACAGATGTTTCTCATTACAGTTACTATTCTGATCCAAGACGTAAGGACAACTCATTCTCCAGCTTAGACTCTGGCCTCATCATCTTTCCCCTTTCCCCTTTCCCCTGAAGGTCAGACCAAACCAGACTTCAGTTGAAGAAATACTTTCTGAGGTCTGGCCAAAATTTTGGCACTGTCATCTCTAGATCAGGCCACTGGGAAAAGTAGGGTGATCTAGGAAGGTCAGAAATAAACCTTGGCACTTAAAAAGGTGTACAGGGGCCTGGAGCTCAGTAGTAATGCCTCAGTATACACACAGAGTCCTCTGGATCACCACCACTCCAAGATGGGCTGTCAAGGACAGAATAGCCACGGCTCCAAATGTGTTTGCTGCATACTTTCCTTTAGAGGCAGGGGTGTAATTTGTTCTTCCCAAATCAGGAAAGTCCACAATGCCCTTTTCAACTGCATGTAACCACCTTTTCAAGTTATTTAAGCAATATGGTGATTCTGTGGGCTCAAATAATTGCTTTACCTGGCATTACCTTCGATGACTCACCCCCTTTTGGAAGCCTTTTAAGAAAGTGGATGCAAGCACCACTATGTTTGGCTTTGCTGCATACTTTGTGCTCCGAGGCTAATGCTAACTAAGGAGACGAAGGCTGACTATAGATTCTTTGACAGAGAAACCCAAATTTGGATGTCTGCTCTTTACTAGATTCTATAATTCTCACACGGCAGCTTCAGGTAAGGCACTACCCAAGATTTTTTTTTACAATATCTTTTTCACTTTCCTCTAACACTGAAAATATAAATTAGAATAATTTCCTCATAACAGACATTGGTTAGATTCTCAACTATATAATAGAGCCTCTAGCATCAGAGCTGGTTTAAATAAATGGTAGGCTAATGTGTTTTATTTATAAATATATAAGTAAATATATTTAACAAAAATAACAATGTTTTACTTAAATTGAGATGTTAATTGAACCACAAAACCACATAGATGAGGAAAAGATTGTGGAATGACAGCTTTATTCTATACCTTATTTCTCATTTAAGTCACATATATCAAATTCCTGAATATGGGGCAGAAGAAAATGTTGGGCAATGAGAGAAGAATATTTTTCTATTAAAGCTCATTGGCTAACCACAGAGGAATAAAATATCAGTTACAAACTATAAGCATAATTTCTTTAAGAAGGAGAAATCTAGAATAGTACACTTACCTATTTAAAAATAAGAGAAAAAGATTATAAAAGCCATTCAATAAAAATATTTAAAGATATGGATAATCAGATAAAAAGAAAGATTGAGAGAGGACAGCAAAAAAACAGTGTGTACACACAAAGATTTTAACTTAGCAACAATAAGAAACAGAGCACAAAGCAGAGTGGTTAAAGGGGACAAAAAGAAAGATGAAGTGATTTGAGGGAGGTAGCGTCAATGGGATTGTCTTAAGTGGCACCTGCCATGGATATCCTCTTGTTTATTTGCACTGAGGGTGTATCCCCATAACAAATGAAGTTCTTGTTGCCTTGCTTTTGTTTTTAGCAAACTGGAGATTCCAGTTTTGGCATCCTTTTCAAATTTATTTTTTTCTGACTACAAGCAATTGTTTTTCTAATTAGTTACTATGAGGGCATGTTCACTGATTGAGACCACAAATATTTAATGAGCACCTATAATATACAGGACACTGTCCTAGAATCTAGGAATATGTTAATGAGCAAAATAATGTCCTCCTCTTATTTTCAGGTGATTGAGACAGAAAAGACACACTAACGTGTGCTTTGAATATAACTAAAACAAGAAGGGGAAACAGAGTAGCAACGATGGGCTAAATTAAGGAAGGTCTGTTTGAGTCTCTGATTTTTACCAAAAATCTATATGAAGTAAATTAAGGCATGTAAATATTAGCTGGCCATGGGTGGTGATGGTGGGGAGGACATTCCAGGCCTCTATATAGGCCACACTTGAAATAGTCAAGTAATAAGGGAGTAAGTAATGAGAATGAATAGTCTATGCACAGATTCTCAATTAATTTGGATTAAAATCTCAGAGTGCTTTCAAAGATATAACACTGTAGTTATTTTTGTCCTATATGGCAAAATATATAGAGAATACCATTATGAGGCACTTTCCCAACATCTGATAAATTTCACCTGAAGACTGAAAAACCTGTGTACTGTACTTAGGGTGAATTTCAGTTAAAAGAGAATCATGTTAGTTTATAGTCTGAAATTCTTTTATTCATACCAATATCATTTAAAATGTTTTTTCAAGTTGACAACACATGAAGCATAATCCTCTTCAGCAACAAATTTTTAACTGCAAAGAGGACCAAGGAAAAGTAAAGTGTACTTTGGAGAATTGTACATATCTCTCTAAATGCTGAGAGAAATTGACAATTCAAATTGTGGAATTTCTTACACAGAGATCTTTTTAAAAAAGAAGGCATACAAATGTCAAAATTGACCTTGCCATAAGCAATCATTGATTAAAAGTCATTTTCCTCATCTCTTTTCCAATGCTCCCAATACTATATGAAAAAATAAAACCCATCTGAAACTATGCATGTGCTATTATGAAAGGTTACAATTGTCAGCAAAATCTTGCTTTGCGGCTGCCTACACATTCTTGCAATGTTTTCTATTTATACAGACCTTGAACTGTACAATTGCTTAAACCTGCATACGTCCTTACATATGTTTGGCCAAAGTTGATGTTTCTGAACTAAGTTGAAAGCCTCTGACTGGCAAGAGAGCATCTAACTTGTTTTATGTAGCTCTGAGAACGCTAAACAGAGGCAGGTATTTAAAGGACCATAATGGGCATGGTGACCACCATGGTAAGGCTGTAATAAGCACCCACACACTCAAGTTCCTTATGTCTTCCAGTATCACACTGAAACAAAGAATGCTGAAAATTCTGAAGTAATCTAAAACTACCCTGCTAAATGAATTATAAAGAAATTCATAGAACATCTTAATGAGAAAACATCTGTAATTTGTAATATGGTGGTGTCTTTTTTCTTTATAAATTTTTAAATTAAATTGATTGAAGTGACATTGGCTAATAAAATTATATAAGTTTCAAGTGTACAATTCAATAACGTCTCATATGTATATTGTATTGTGTGTTCACCACCCAAAGTTGAATTCCCTTCCATCACTATATATCTGAACCCCTTTATCTTTATCTCATCCTATTCTCCTTTTCCCTCCTGTTGTCTGCATCTATGAATTTTTGCTTGTCTTATTTGTTTGTTACTCTCACTTTTGTTATTGCAGTTTTAGGAGAAAAACATGAAAAACCCAGGAAGGAATAATCACTCTGACTCTGTGAGCGAATTCATTCTTCTTGGATTCCCTTGTACTTGGAAGATTCAGATCCTCCTGTTCTCACTCTTCTTTGTGATCTATGTCCTGACATTAATTGGAAACCTCTGCATTATCTGTGCAGTGTGGTGGGACCACCATCTCCACACACCCATGTACATCCTGCTGGCTAGTTTTTCATTCCTGGAGATCTGGTATGTCACTTCTACCATCCCCAATATGCTAGCCAACTTTCTCTCTGAGACCAACACCATCTCTTTCTCTGGCTGCTTCCTGCAGTTCTACTTCTTCTTCTCCATGGGCTGCACTGAGACCTTATTCTTATCTGCCATGGCCTTTGACAGGTACCTTGCTATTTGCAGGCCTCTGCACTACCCCACTGTCATGACAGTTCAATGCTGCATGAGAATAGGAGCTTGCTGCTGGGCATGTGGCTTCTCCTATTTTCTCCTCCCAGTTTATCTTATTTCTCAGCTTCCTTTTTGTGGCCCCAATACTATTGATCATTTTTTATGTGACCCAGGACCCCTTATAAAGTTGTCCTGTGTGCCAGAGCCCACCATTGAGATCACCTGTTCCATCTTTAACTCAGTTATCATTTTCTCCACATTCCTCTTTATTACCGGCTCCTACACCCAGGTGATCAGAGCTGTGCTGAGGGTCCCCTCAGCAGAAGGCCGGCGTAAGGCCTTCTCCACATGTGGCTCTCATCTGGTAGTGTTGTCCCTGTTCTATGGCTCTATCATAGTCATGTATGTGAGCCCAACAGCTGATAATCTATCAGGGATTCAGAAAATTATGACTTTATTTTATTCTATGTTAACTCCATTTTTCAATCCCTTGATCTATAGCCTCCGGAATAAGGAGATGAAGGAGGCCCTGAGGAAACTGTTGAGGATTATGAGATTTGGTCAAAGACAGCCTCTCAAGAATTAGAATCCATATACGAGTAGGACGTATAGTGATATAAAATTATAGAAGGTTAAAGGTCTTAATTAAATTTGAGAGACAAATATGTTTCCTATATTCCCTGGAATATATTTAGGGATGCATTTCAATGAAACAAATAGCAAATAAGATCTTACCAGAACTTGCATAAATCATTTATTTGTACTAGGCTTTATTGTATTGATATTCCTCTGTGCATTGCATGGAAACAGGAAAATGCCAGACATCCTCAGGCATTTTTGAAGGGAAAAAAAAAATCGTGTATAACCCAAAGATTAACTGGTCAGTTTCTATCCTTTACAGATTTAGGGAAATTTGTCGGACCCCCAGTTTCATAGTGATTAAATGTCTGGAGTACCCATCACTATCTCCCTACACACACACACACACACACACACACACACACACACACACACACCATAGAAACATGTTCATGTGTGCTTCTCCTCACACTCCTGAATCCACCTGCTGTCTTGTTTTGATCACATCAATCTGGATGTTAGACTCATCTCCTTCAACATTTTATCCAAAACCAAACTCATTCCAGCTTCGTGTAGGTTTATTCATCTGATTACAGGTTGAGGTTAGGGAGAGTCAGAGGAAGGGCCACTGTACTGACCACCCACTCAAGCTTTCATATCTAGTGCTACCTTTTTCCCTACCTTCCTCGTCTTCTTCTCACCATGCACAGGAGTGGCCAGAACATCTTTCTCTTGCTTATTCAGAATAATTTTGTCCGTATGTAAGCCATTTTGGGCTTTGATATTCTTTGTTAAGTAGGCTTGTCAAATTTCTTCTTAGCAAACCTAATTCTTGAAAAGAAATTTGTGAAAATAGTTTTCTCTAACTGGTTTCATTTTTAGGTTTTTGTAACTTGATATATTCCATCTTTATTTTAGTACCACCTGAAACAGAAGTGAGACCCAGAAATAAGATTACCTGGAAAAAAAACTTAATGAAACAATAATTCATATTTTAAGTGCTTTATCATTAGCCATACAGAGAGGATAGTGTGTGTGTGTCTGAGGATAGAAATAAGATAGTACGGCCATTATCTGAAATGAAGTATAATACTGTCCAGTTAACTTTCAAAGTGGCTTGGAATCATTATATTGCATTTTAGTAAATAAATCTTACTCTGAGAGGGCATATCATCTACTAGTGAAATTGTGCTCAGTTTTTTAAGAGCACGAAAGACCAGATTCACTAGTCTATCTTCATTTTAGTTATTCAAGGGAGATGAAAGTCAGGTTCTATGTAGAGTGATAGCATGACTTAAAGCTTGGATGCAAGGCCAAATCTAGTTTTTGAGCCCTTTGCATAAATAACAAAAATCTCAAAGCAGCCCTTCAGCTTCAAGTCTTGATCAGAAGCACCTTTATTCATCTCTTCTTCAGGAGTGACCTAAACACACATCATGGAGCACATCTCTATTCCCAGGGCACTAGCTAGGTAACAGTCGCCATTCCTTCTATTGGACAGGTTCCCTTATACCAGGAAAAACCTGCAGAGCCTTAAACAATATTCCTTGGTAGGGGAGGGAAGAAGTGAGCCACATGCAGCTCATCTCCCCACATTCTCTCACTAGAAGTATTGAATGAAAGGGGAAGACAAATGTTTAACCCTCTAACTCCCCTAAAAAAGGGAAAAGATAGGGATTAAACATAGCACACTAATACTCATCAATTATCTTTTGGATTGAAACTCAGAAAGTTGCTCTCATTTCAGTACTTATTTTTCTGCCTATTTGTCTTTACCAAAGACTAGTAAATGTTCTATGTTAATTCTCATAAAATTAATTTCAAAAAATAATTAAAATCAATAAGAAGCTTTAAAATGGTGGCCAGATGCAAAGTAAATATACACAAAGTAATAATCATGAAGAAAATATAATGGAAGGAAAATGCCATTCATAATAAATAACAACAAAAATGTAGTATACCTCCTAAATAAATTCACCAAAGAGGAATGAAGTATACATGAAGAAAACTGCAAATGCTTACCTTGAAACAGCGAAAAATATATAAATAAGCAAATAAATGGAGATAGCTACCATTTTTCTGAATATAATGAGTAAATTTCTCATTTCATCCTAAATAAATTTATAAATTTAATAAAAATAAAATAATAATAATATCAAAATCATAACTATCCAAACGTTCAGTAATTGGAGATTAATTCAGTGAATTATTATATATCCAAATTACAGAATACAGATATTTAAAATCATGTTTTGAAATATATTTGATGAGTTGGAAAAATGCTACCAACTTAATGCTAAGTTAAATTTGTTTTTCCGGAATAAAAAAGTCTAATATAATTGGCTCCAAATTTATTTTATAATTAAGAAAATACAGGAAAGAAATACATAAAAAATGTCACAGTTGCAATCTTGTAGTAAAATTATAGATGATTTTGTCCTGCTTTTTGGTGTGTTTTACAAATTTACTATGGCAATCTTATTTTTTCTTACTAAAATAAAATGTTAACTCAAAAATCTCATCTTGGCAGTGTTAAGAAGGCTTATTCTTTATTTCTAATTCTTGCCTCAGAGTAAAGTGGGGGAATCTTTCTTCAGGAAATGAAGCTGAGTCAACATAATGGAACTGTTATCTGGAGATCACATGCTGCTAGCTGAAGCAGCCAATGAAGAACCATTAGCAGCAAAATCCGGAAAGAATTTGGGAGATAGAACCTATCCTCACAACTAAAATTGGTTCAGAACCAATATACTGAACACATATCTAGATCTTCAGGGACAAAATAACACCTACATAAAATACACACATACACAAACAGATTCATTATATCTTGTGCTTTTCATAAATGTCCTTTGAAAATTTACTTGCTGCTTAGAGGTCATGTAGGACACAAGGTTCTGTGTCACTGAAGCATCTGTTGTTTTGAGGGCCTTAACCATGTCCTCCCAATAGCACCAGTGGTGTAAATTTATCACGTAAGTTGACCAAGTGTAACAAGAGTTTCTACTTCTTGGTTTTGTGCTCCCTCCTCAAACCAACTCTCCTTTATATTATATACATTTGCTCTTACCTATCTCAATTCTTCATACTTTCTTATAGAAAATCAGCCGCAGAAAATAATCTGAAGTTGTAAATTAATTAAACATCCCCTAATTTAAAAAAAAAAAATGTGAAGACCACTGTAATATGTATACATAATAGAATTTTTTACCAGTATTAAAATAGTTTTAAAGATGGTCCTCAAATATGGGTAAAGACTTAAGAGAAGTTATCAAGTGAAAAAAATAAGATTCAAAATTGTTATAGTATGATTACAAATATATTAGGAATAGAAAATGGGGAAAATACAGTAAGGTATTAATAACAATTTTATTTATATGGACTAGTAGTGTTATTAATAATTTTAAAATATTTTTTTCTTATTTGCCAATTTTTTAGTTCTGCTTTCTAAAATAGTCATTTAAGTTGTGTGTAATTTTCTGACATATGTAAATACTTAGTAAAATGTCAAAAAGCAAATGTCTTACAGTGGTATACAATTTAAAACGATTAAAGCCGTTATATAAGTGCAAAAAATGTTAATGGTGCTATTTACCATTGAAATGAGCTGAAAGTGCACCAGAGTGGACTAGAAGAGGTATTTTGGGAGAGGTTTAGACTCAGTGAGTCTCAGGCTTTTCAAGCTGTCTCCCTGAGACAATCTCCTTCTCAGGGTTCTATCAGCCCTGTGTGGTGGTAAATGATGCAATTTATATATTTCAACAAGTTTAATTTCCTGAATAGTTGTGTCTTTAGTTTTCCCTATATCCTTCCAGGACTCCCTCCCTATCTATATATCCAGGAATAAGAATCTTTCCTGAGTTTCTTCTTGAATTTTATCCAATCACACAATGTACCTGATTTTGTTTTAAGATCTTAGGCACAAATGAATGATATTATTGATCCTAAAACTGCATCTCGCCTTGAAAACCAAATTCTGTTCACATTATTCTTATAGGAACTCCATGAGCTATGGGCTTACTATTGACAAAATGCCCATTATTTCCCCATCACACACATACTCAAAGGTGCTGAAACTAAGTTGTCAGAATACAGTATTGGGATATTGTACTATGATATATTTTCTCTTTTTAAAGATTTTCTTTTCCTCCTTTGAAACATTTCTTCACCCATTTATTCATTTGTTTTATTTATTCACCTTCCAAACATTTACTGAGTTTCTCTTATATGCTAAATGTTAGGCCCAGGCTTGGGGAAATACACAAGTGCAAAATACAGGACTCAGAAACTGAAAAAGGAAGGCAGTGATGACATGTGAAGTATATAACATGACTGAGAAAGTGTACTCTAGAGCAAATCTACATGAGTTTAAATCTCAGCTTACCTCTTAACTAGAGCTGTATTACCTTGAGTTGATTATATAACTACTTGGTGTCTCAAATCCTCATTTTTAATTGGGATTAAAATTTTAGTCTATGTTATGAGAATTTAGTGAAATTATATAAAAAGAAGAGTTCAGCACAGAATAAGTTCTCATTAAAAGTTAGTTATTATGGTGTCCGATGGGTACTAGACTTATTAGGGTGATCATTTTTGTAAGGTATCTAAATATCTAATCACTATATTGTACACATGAAGCTAATATAATGTTGTCAACTGTAACTGTAACTGAAAAATAAAAAATTTTTAAAGATTTTTAAAAATTATTATATGAAAACAAGTAAATGTTTAGTGGTGCTATTATAAAGTCTTCATCAATACTAAAGAAAGAAAGCCAAGATCACTCTCTCACAGAGAACATGAGGTCATGCTTGAGCTGACCTTTGAGAGATAGATTGGAAAGATAGGAAGGATAAAACTAACATAAAAACCAGTGCTGGATGAAAGGTGTAAAAGAACACAAACACATGGTAACCTGTAACCATTGAGAAAATTAGCAGACATTTGGTTCTGTCCAAAATGTCCATAGAGACATTTGAGCCACACCAAAAAGTCCATAAAATTTAG